TTGTTCTTAAAGGAAATGGCCACATTATTATTCTTAAAATGGATAAAAAGCTTATCTTCTACTGTTAGGCTGTTACTCTTGACAAGCAGAGTACCAAAAGGTTCTTTAAGCCTAACAATGCTAGTTAAAGAGAGAATTCAATCTAACTACTTCAAAGTCTACTGGTTAGGTTAGCACGCCTAATCAGAAAAGAAGAAAGGATACTTATGCCAATATCTATTCAGGGACTATGGGCTTTAATATATTTTTAAGATAAAAATTGTAACTCAAAAGTGTTGCAATGCAATATCACAGGGACTGCAATGGATGATGTTTTCGTGAGAACATTTTTAGCAAATGCTGAAATTTAAAGGTGTGCTTTAAGTACTTGTTTAGCAGAAAGCGCAAAGCCAAAAGCCTCCTACCATTTGGTATGCCACTTCGTCGAGGAGATTTTACTCATCATGGTAAATCCATCCGAAAATTACTAGGTCTAGTGTCAGTCTCAGATTTATTATCTTTATATGACATGCCTTTACAATGATCTAGTGGAATATTTTTACCAAATGTATTAGAAAAGAGCAATCATCAAACACATTAAACTGTTTAGTAGATCAGTTGTGTACCTTCAGACGTCTAGCAAGTTCATTAGCATGCAGCACATTGGCAAGCTTTGATTGACCATAGGCAGACAGGCCATTATACCTGAGGATCATTCATCCGCATAAGACAAAGCCCTGGTCTCAACTTTTCTGGACATAAGCATAGTTCATCTATTTTTGAAAACAACAAAATATGTACTTCCTATGACTGCAAATAATTGATCAACTCCTTTGGCTAAAACATTTTTGTCCTCCATCACCAAGAACTTTTATCCAAAAATTTTAAATTTGTGTAGGGAACAAATATTTTGCAGTAGTCAATGGAAATGGCATCCTTATAATGTTTCTTCATTTGATGTGGTCAGTGATAACACACACAACAAGGAAATCAGGGCCTGTTTCTAACAGATGCTCAGTCCCTTTGAGAGAGATTGGGAGAAACGGCAAAAACAAATTTCTATCACTTTAGTTCTTTGCAGATACTCTAATCCAACTAATCCAACTTATCAAATTTTTGGGGAGAAAATTAAAGACTCAATAATTAAAGAATTAGCACATGACAGATATGTCAGACTATAGCATGTTCACCCTAATTGATCATTGATTTTGTCAAGCCGAATCCCTTCATGGTACGAAAATTTGTGGCGTCGTGAGGAGACATTAACAATCCTCCCTTCTTTTCTGCTCTGACTAGCCGTTCTTTTCATGGTCTTCAGCAATAAATTTGTCAAAAGAAAGTGGCCTGCAAATAAATATACCCGTGAAATCACCCTCAAGAGTGATGAAATTTGACCTTAGTATCACCAAAAATATAATGTAAATACAAGATGTCATAATGTTATGCAGAAATCTACGAATACAGAACCATGCCAAGCGAAGGAGTATGGCATTAAAACAATTAGCATCCAACACTACAAATGCCCACTAGGGTGCCTGCTTTAAATGATAATTAAACTAGAAAAGATGTCATAAAGTTATGCAAAAATCTAAGAACACACAACTTCGCAAACTAAGGACATGAGCACGGCAAGGGAGTAATAATGTAAACATAAACCGAGTGAATTTTGGCTGTAAAGACCAGGTGATCATCCAAACTTAAGCAAACCAAGAATTGGCCATCACAGACAGTCTAACAAGCAGGACGTAGATTATTAGACGATAGAAACTTAGCCAAAACACTTGACCTCATCACTCCAGTGTTAAGGCCCAAAGACTGGAGATTCATGTTACCCTATATTAACCATATTGCCTCCATAGAAAATACCCAGTCCTATTCTCATTTTCCTTGACTAGTTCATTTCAGTATTAAGTAGGAAATGTGTTGCATCTTACCAACATGGTTTGTTGCAAATTGCAGCTCAATCTTATCCTTGGAAAGTGTGAATGGGGTTGCCATGATACCTGCATTGTTACTTTGCCACAGATTACAATGATCTAGTTATTTCCGTGCTCAAAAGTCTGTCTATAAGCAAGTTAAAGCACAAGTACTCATGAATATGAATGCAAGTTTTGTTCACCCTAATGGTGGTGGGAGGAGGGTTTAACAAGATAATATCATCTGAATATTATTTACCAGCACAATGAACTTCGCTATATCAGCAACCAAATACGGATGGCCTTGGATTCAATCTGTCACCCTTTTTAGTTGTATAAAGTTAAAAGGAATATGCAGCCATAATTACTTGAACTATGGTGCTTTCTTGAGCGAAGAAATAATAATCAGGGGTTGTTTTGATAGGATTGAGAATTGATCTCTGAAATTAGCATGAATGATTACGTTAAGCTTCTAATTTTCAAGAATTGACCCATTAATTTTGTGAATTTCCTAGTAACTTCACATTACTTGGTAATATAAATTGCTAACCTTTAGAAATTGCATGTTGATTTTGTATTGTCTGAGTCGATTGATTGGAAAATGAAACGGTGATCTCCGTTTATATTGAAACATTGAAACATAAAACTTATCTTATGTACTGCAGAGAAGAAAACCCCCTGAGATTAAACAAATAAGTCCAATATGTCACATTCAAATATGGAATATTACAGTTCATTGGAGATGCTTCTTTTGATGAAGATTGACTCACCTATTCAATTTAGTGATAAAGTCTAGTGATTTTGACTTAAAAAACTTGTATATAATACAATTTGGAACTTAATGTATTAAGTAATCTCATTTTTACATTTTTTAATCATTCAAGACATTCAATTTCAACCTTTAGATTAGGTTACCAAAGCATGCTGTGTTTGGAAACTAACACATAACAATGGTTAGCTTCCCTTTATGTTCTTTTAACTTCTTATTTTCTCTTGTTTCTATCGTTACATACATACATACATACTTATATGCCCGGGCCACCACACATTTAATGAGACTTAGGGTAGAAATTCGCATAAGACCCACAGCAGATATACATACTTTCTAATATGGTGCTTTAACTTTCTCAACATCAGTAGTTAACATACTTCCATCTTTACGAATTACTACGTCCTCCTAGTTGAAACTAATGAAGCGGTCATAAGTATGTTAGTTCGCCTAACACAGTTTACTAAATTCAAATCAAAAAAAGAAAGCATAAATAGGAATACTTGAAATTGCTCTGCTATGAATTTACGTCGGAGAGTATAGAAAGTAACTAAAACAAGAGAAAGTCTACACTTATCCATTTCCGTCTTACATANTTAAAGAGGGACGATCAACCATGATTCAAGTCGTGTTTAAGCAGATTAGACATATATGAATGCACGGTGCCTGTAGATTTGAGGACAAACAAACAATCTATTAATCCTGCAGATTTTATGCACCCTAAGTTAGTTTCAATAACTTAATTTCTGACTCAACAACAGAATTAGAAACCAGAAGTGAACTATGCAAAATCTATTTAAACACTAAACCAAGAAACTTCTGTTGGCAGGTAGAATTTTCCTAGAAATACTATGCTCACAACTCAGTTTGGAAAAATTGAAAGAAAGAGTTAGTTACCAGTAACAATGGCAGTAAGAGCAGAGCCATCAATTCCTTGAGTTACTTCCTCAGCTGTTGAATTTGCAGAGAACCCAGAAGCACCCTTTTTGCTTAGAAACCACATAGTATATGCTTCTTCTTCTTCTTCTTCTTCTTCTTCTTTCTCAAAGCTATACAACACTCAGCAAACTGTAAAAACAGAATTTTAAGCTATCCTCTTTTCTCTAGCCAGCTTTTGGGCAGGTGCGGCTTACTGGGCGCCTACTGGCCTAATTAATGAGATAAATGTGACCTATTTATAATTTTTAGACTACCAAGTAATTTAATGATTAAATTTATTATAACACTAGGGAGTTACACACAATTAATTTTTTATAAAATAAAATGATTATAAATATTTTTGTATATCAACAACAACAACAAACCCAGTAAGAATCTCACAAGTGGGGTCTGAAAGGACAGGATATATGCAACCTAACTTTGTGAAGGTAGAGATGTTATTTTCGATAAATACTCGGTACAATAAGAATATTACAATTAATTGGATATTGTAGAGATCACTTGACACATCCATTTTGCATAAATTCGAAATGTGATGTACAAAAAGAATATGAAAATAGAAATGCGTGGACGGCCCTGGAGGCTCAATTGTTTAAGATGGACATTTTGAGATTAATTTTTTATGAGATTTGAACATTGTTGTTTACCCCCAAAATCGGATAACAATTGAATTTATACGCGATTTTAAGGATATGTGATCTAATTCGATACAAAGTGAGGAATCAGATTTAATATGGAAGAATAAGTAGAAAAATAAATGCAAATCATGCAGTTTGAACGACTTAAGCCTCGCACGGTTAACTTCCATCGAACCTATATGTGATATTATTGAAGCCAGAATAATATGAACAAAGATGGAAAAAATAATATCTTCTTGTCTTAAGTATGTTACAATGTGTGCCATGGATTACTCCATTCCCTTTATATATACGGGGAGATGAAACCTTTAAGACATTATATTATAAGAAATTATGTAGACCGTTGGTTCCCTTTTTGACTTAATCCCGTAATTTTTGCCATAATGATTGATTAATGGCGAGAATCACGGATACTTGTCGTGTGAGTTGGTAAATCTTTTCTTCGAGGTCGTTAGAAGCGGGGTCGGTCGTGCCCCCGATAAACATGAGGGCAAATCTGATGGTCTTGTTCGAACTTCGATCCTCGATATCGAGCTAAGTTATATCTATAACTTCGATCTCTTACGTAGGTGTCGAGCCTTGACCTATTGTTCCAGATGCCTCGATCAAGCATAGAGCTCGGTTCTACCAGTATACCGATAGTCCCCTCATTTTTTGGAGAGTAAGCGATTAAAAACGATATGAACCCTCAGTCCTTACTTTGATAAATCATGACGACAGGTACATGACGTAGGTGATAAGAATAGTGGAAACGTCCCATCAGTACAGTCTTCGAGGCATTAAATGTATGTCAGTTGGCGGTCGGCTACCTCGGGAGATGAACCGCCGCTTGAGGAACCTATAAATACCCTTTAATCCGTTTGTTAGAACTTTTGCGCTCAAATCCTTCTTGCGTTATAAGAACTTCATCTTCTGGTTTTCTCAATGCCAACCTCAAAGCTTCCCCTTATTAACAATCTCTTTCCTTCATTTATTTTTATAAAAATGGCAAAAACTTCAAAGTCTATTCCTCAAAAAGAAACACTTTCTTCTTCAAAACCTTCTAAAAACGCTCCTCACGCTGCTACTGAGGAACCCCCTCTGAAATCATACATCCCTACTGGGTGCCCTACTGTGGCTGATTTCAAGGTTGAGAATACACCCATGGTATCGGGTCAATGTGAACCGGTCTCGAGGTACATATGTACGATCACAGACATCATCCTCGATAAGGTTAAAGAGGATTGCAACTGGGTAGGCAAACACGTAATTGTTCCTACGCCTGAAGAATCAATTACCACCTACGAGAGTTTCTTAAGTGTTTACACTTACCCTTTCACGTTGGGTCCTCTAGACCGGGTTATCATAGCTTTTTGCAAAAGGTATGTTGTGACGCTCGGGCAGATATATCCTTCATTTTGGAGGATTGTTATTCTGCTTCGATTCTTTGTGAGCAAGGTCGAGGGATGTCCATTCACCATCGACTATCTCATGCACCTGTATAGCCCTTGACTTTACTGATGAGGGTTAATTAAGCTTGTATGCCGAGCCACCAAGACCTTGTTCTCGAGTATCGACGAGGATCGAGACAAGGGCTGGTTTGGTAGATTTGTTCGAGTGAGGACCTCAGACTTAATCCCGGCTGCAGATATTCCGTTCCCTGAGAAATGGAACATGAAACGTAAGTTTAGCTTTGCCTTTGGTATTCCTTTTATTGCTTTTCATTCCGTTTGGTTTCTTATCGATGTTATGTGATGCAGTTGTTGCCCAGATGCCGAACCCCGTTCCCGAACTTAAAGAGTGGGTCGAGGGCATTGCGACACAGAGACCTTATTCTGAACGCTTATGGCGTGAGCTCTCGAAGGTCCGATGGGAGGCCCGTAATCATGATAAGGATTTTCTCCTAATAATGCATCTGATCTCATTTTTTCATCATCAGTCTCTGATCCGTTATATTTTCATTTTGTAGGTTTAGGAAAGGACGTCGAGATGAGGCCTCCATCAGCTGATGATGATATACACACTGATCCCCCTTCTTCAAAATAGGGCAAAGAGAAGAAGAAAAGAAAAGCCCCGAGTCCCTCGGCCCCTGAAAGGAAAAGACCGAGGAAGCGACCTGCGCAGAACCCTAAGAAAACCAGCGCCCGAGAACTTTCATCGGACTTACTCAATCGTTTGAGGGATGAGTCCAAGGAAGAAGAAAATTCTGAGTTAGTGGCCTGCGACTCCGAAGTGCCTCAAGCCATGGAGGCCGTAGAAGAAACAGTGGCTGAAGTCTCCGAGAGGGTCAAGATCGATTTGGTCTGAGCCAGTGAGGTCGGGAAAGAAAAAGTGACCGGTACATCCCGGTCAGAAGATAACGTACCCAAAGAGGCGCTTGGGGTGATTGACCTTTCTGGGTCGCTTTCGTTTACAACTTCTATGATAAACGAGGCCCAAGCATTGAAAGGTAACCTCGACGAATGGGCCCAAGGAGTAGCCGATTCTTTCTAAATTTTTTTCGATGGCCTTGATTCCACTGCTTCGGAGGATGCTACCGGTTTGGGCGACCTACTGGTACCAAGGAAGATACCGTCCCCGGGAGCTGGCGGGTCCTCTTCGAGCCCGAAATTAGTGAATCAGTTCCCTGCTCCGAGTGTTGATCCTACTCGGAGGCGAGAAATTTATATGTCCATCCCGGGGGACGCCCGGATTCTTTCCGCCCCGGTGGGAATTGCTAGTTACCTTCGGTGCTTGGTGACCGAAGAGGATCAAATAAAAATGAACGAGGTAGAGGCGCTCTTCCTTTTCAACGAAGCTCAACAGGCGCCGAATTGGGTAATTTCGCATATCCCTTTGTTATATACTTAGCTTTAATAGTGAATAATACTAACATCTTCCTTCGTGTTTGCAGGCCTTGGTGCTTCATCATGAGGCCTTTCTCCGATACCGGGAAGAGTTCAAGCGTCACGAGGCCGAGACTCGGGATCTTGCCGAGAAGAAGGATACTTACAAGCTTCTTAGTAAGAAGCTTCAGGCCGAGTTAGAAGCGGTTCGGAAGGAGCATGTCGGTTTGCTCGAGCAGGTAATACGAATATTCGATCTTAGCGATGTTGATTCAGATACTTTGGCTAACGACCCAAAACTACAGGCTCAAAAGAGACTTGACTACGTCGGGCAACTTCAGGTAGAGGTGGACGTGGTGAAGGTCGAGGCCAAAAAATGGAAGAAAAATATGAACCGTCTGGCATCGGGAAAAGAAACTGCCCGAGCACAATTGGCTTCTGTTGAGGTTCAGCTTCGGGTTGCAAAGGAGAAGAACTCAGCGTAGGCCAAAATGATCGAGGAACTCCAATCTCAGCTGAGTTTAGCTGATTCTGGCCAAGAGAATCTGGTCAAGGAGCTCGAGGCTGCCAAGTTAGAAGTCATTATGGCTCGAAATGAAGCTGATAAAAGGGTGGCCCATCTCAAAGTTGATGCCGAGGATATACATGAGCATGAAAAAAGTATGGTGAAGCATACGTGGTGGGAATCCCGAAGGAAGACCCTCAAGGGAGTCCATGCCCAGAATTTTGACATATTGAACGAAATTGAGAATGCCAAGACATGCGAAGCCAATGCTTGAAGGCTAGCTTTTCCCGAGGAGGATTCTGATACGTCTGAAGAGTCGGACGAGTCCGGTGGCGAGGGAGACTCCGAAGGCGATGACGTAGCCCCCGGTGAAGATTAGGCCGTGCAAATTTTGTACTGTTTCTTTTGTTGAGGCAATTTGGCCTTTGTATATGACATGTAACGGGGC